CAACACTTTTTAAGGCTTTTCCAATACCACGCAGCATGCAGTTCACAGTCAAGCTTTGACGGGAAACAAGAAGGAACATCTCATTATAGCTAAACTTGTATCCGAAGCGACTAAAAGGTCCTTACACACCAAGCCAGTTTTTGGCGTCAATAGACGTCTGGTCGCCCTACTCAGATTGGTGTGTCCCGCCCCGCCGTGTCTTTTCGGCCGTGCCGACACCTTCCGCCGCCAATTCAACATGTTGAATCGGCAGGCAGTCGGCAAAATAAACCACTGATTGGCTGTTCAGCTAGCGAATCAGTGCATGAGAAGCGAAACGGAAGTGAGGGACCCAAACAAACTATTAAGGCATATCCGAGATTTCATTTAACTCCAGCTCTCGACACAGGTTCTGGAAAGCCCCATGAGCTTCTCGCTGTTGAGTGAAAATGGAACACACATGCTATTTGTTGTTTGTTTATATCACGCAGTCTGTTCTTCTTCTCTCTGTGTATCACGCAGTCTATCTTCCGGTTGTTGCCTCTTTTGAATGACGAATACACACTACCGCCACCTGCTGGTAAGGAGAGTTATTGCCACTCACGCATGCGCAGTTCGTACGTGCTTCTTGGCCGTCGGCTGAAGTCTTTGCGGTGTGTTCCAGTGCGACACATGGCCAAGATGCAGAGACTCGAGGCGACGCAACAGTCGGGGTCCGTCTGTGTCAGTTCTTTGTTGTCAGATTGGTGTGTCCGGGCTTTTAGGCTCGCCTGTTTGTTTTTTGTTAAAATGCTATTAAAACGAGAACCATTGGGCTGGCCTTTATGGTCTGCCTACAAAACAAAAATAGAAAAAACGTTTATGCAGCCCCAACAACAGCCTCTGATCATCAACAGACTTCATGCAATGCTTCATTGGATGCATATATTATAATATCTATCTCACTCCTAACACATCTAAATCTACTTTCAGCATGGATAAATGTTCATGAAATACATCCATTGTTTGTTTTATATGCTTCTTGAAATCCTAAAAAACACGTCGGATCACAAATCGCCTGAAAATGGTACAAATAAGTGGCAACATGTGTGACGAAGGTGTTGCGCTGGGCTATATCATGCAATCGAAAGTGAAACTTAAGCTCACTCCATTGCGGAGATATTCCCGCGAGACCGCGGAAAACTAAAATAAAATAATGTATTCACCCCCCCCGTTGACAGGGGTCGTCAGTTTCTGGCACTGTTATTTTGGGGGTCGCGGGCTGAAAAGTTTGGGAACCCTTGTCCTAGAGCACCATTGTGGTTTTATTTTTTGCTTTCTGGTTACCAGCAAGATTAGTTAAGTTGAAATGGTCCGTCAGTGTTTAAACCTTATTGCATTTGGGATTGATTTATTTGTTCGGTTTGGTCTCCGACGTGCTGTTTGACTTTCATTCCTCCGTCCCTCCCCTCCACTGTGTCCCCAGCTTTCCAAATCCAGAACTGGTTTCTAACAACATTTCATCATCTTGTTGCCGTCATTGTGCACCATGAAAACAAAGGTCCGTCCCTCATTCCCTTCCCCCTCTTCTCCCTCTGTTCCTTCCCTAACAGCTGCACCAGTACCAACAGGCTTTTATCCAGCAGCAGCAGCAGCAGCAGCAGCAGCAGCAGCAGCAGCAGCAGCAGCATCATCAACATCAGCAGGAGCTTCTTCATCATCATCAGCACCAGCAGCAGCTTCATCCCGCTCCGCAGACTCTCCCCTACATGTCCTCCCCTCTTGAGTTCCAGATTCCGCTGGGATCCTATAACACGACCCCTTCCACTGCTGGAGCTGTGCAGGTGGGGGGGCCGTCACCTGTCGACTCTTCATACTCTAACCCCAGGTAAGACCCACTGAACTTCCACCAGTCTCAACCACCCTTTAAACAGTGCCAGAGCCCACAGTGTGTTCCCGTTAAAGTTAACTTCCTCTCTGTCTTCTCTTTCCTTCTCTTGTTCTCTATATATTTTCTTTACTTGGAAAAAAGCCATCATGAATCCAGAAATGGCAAATATAAAAATGGCAAATATAAAAATGACTATTCAAAAAGTATTACACAATGTTTCTTTGATAAAACTTGTATCACTACGGGTTCTCACTGGTAGGGGTGGGAGGGTAAGGGAGGCGGGTAGTGCGTGGCAATGCTTAGTTCTAAGAAAGGATGAAGATCATTGTCTCAGTTGTGACCCTGTATGACATTTTTACACTTCAATAAAAAAACATTAAAAAAAATTCCACAGTTTTCTGATGGAGAAAACTAATATTTGACGTTAAATAGATAGGACTTCTTTATGGGGATTGATATGACTGCACATAGTCCCTTGATCATCTTTAGCAGCGGTCTGTTTGCGAGCTTTAACAGACCTTTGGAATGTCCAAATAGACCAATCAGAATCAAGTATTCAACTAAGCCATTTAATTATCAGTCTTAATTTCTATTGGAAGCTCAGGCAAGGCACATTTAAAACATTTTCCACAACGAAGCTGCGCAAAGGGTCAATAGAAAATAAGTTACAAATATAAATCAGAATGCCGTTTATTGCATAGGTTTTCACATACTTTACAAGCGATTGGCATTGTGAGTTGGTAAACTGATAAACATTTTAAATGAAAGCAAGAAACAGGGAAAATGAGAATTGTAAATATAGAAAAGATGAAAAACTGTTAAAAAATGAAAAAGCACTAATATAAATACATACAATATATCTGAATACTAATTTTTCAAAACACAGGCGAGGAGAACGTGTAGAATAATAAGAGTATTTATTTAATAATAAAGGGCAAATAAAAGTGCTATTTCAATGAAAAGTCAGTCATGATTGAACATAATTCTTAAGCCCTTAGTTTTTAAGAGTAGTATGTTGGATAAACTTCCTCAGCCTCAGACGTTTTCAGTAAAGAGAAGAGTTCTCTATGAATTAGATTTTAGTTTTAGGTTTTCATCTTATAGTTTGTAAGGAAATGTGTGCCAGAGAGTCCTACCTTAAACATGTTGTGTCTGTTGTACTGTGTCCACAGCAGGAACCCTCTCCTTGCTTCAGATGGGATCACGCCCCCCTCTCAGAGCAGCAACAGTACAGCCACTAACCCCCCCGACATGTCGCGCTGGAACCCCTTTGGTGAGGACAACTTCTCCAAGCTGACCGAGGAGGAGCTGATCGACCGGGAGTTTGACAGACTGCGAGCAAGCAAGTGACCCTTTGTATGATAGTGTTTTGTTTCTGAAATCATAGCAAGAGTCTGTTATTCATTGCAGCAGTCAAAAATAAATGACAGTTTATGAGACTGCGGTTTGGTTTATTAAAGACTCTAAGAAAACAAGTTTACCGATATCTCATATCTCTACAATTTAAATCATAAGACACTTTTCTTCCCTGAAGTGATTCATGAAGTGAAGCGACTTCATCTCAAGGTTAAACAGTATTTTATTAATAGTTTCCATGGACTAAATTGAAAATAAATCATAACCAAATGCAGTATAATTCAACATCTACCCTTGACTTTGTGTTTAATGTTTTCAAATCTTTCTGTGGTTTAAAAACATCTTGCCTTAGTGTCGCAGCTTTAGATGATTCAGTTTCAGAATACTTTATTGTCCATTACATTTACATAAAATGGAAATGTGTCTTTGGCGCTGGCAGATTAAAAAAACCTCATCTTAAAGTAACTAAGTGGCTGTCATAATAAAAAGGCTATGTGGTTTGTTCTTCCTCTGGCATGAAGTTCATTTAAAAAACCAAAACATCAGAGCATGACACTCAGTTGCAATAAAAAATAAACAATATAAAATGTATACATTAAAGTTATGTGATGCTGTTTGTGGCAGATGTCCTAAGAAGGATCCTTGGGGTTTGGAAGGGATCTGTGTGTGTGTGTTTTGAATGGTCACGGCTGATAGAAAAATGAGTTTCTTGTAGTTGTTTTTCTTGCCATTGGTGATCTAATCCTCTTCCTCTGGGACCTTTCCATGCAGATGAGCCAGGGGAGAGAACATCCAGCGCTGAAAAGGAGCGAGCGCCGCCCGCCGCCTCCACCCTGCTGCCAGAGGACCTGTTCGGCTCAGTCCCGTTCGTGGCCAGCGCAGGCAAGTCTTAGAGGAGTCTCTACAGAGAGGACCCAACACTGTGGAGCCACCTCCCCCGCCCTCCCCCTTCTCCTGCTCTTCTGTTCCCAGCTGACCTCCTGTCAGCAGCTCCCATGCCACACTGACCCCGCAGTGAGGCATTCAAAACCAATGATTCGATTTTGTTTCGTTTGGCAGATAAGTCCTTAGCATAACATATGAGGAAAAGGTGAGTGTAGGCTCTTCTGTAAATACATTAGGAACAACAGCCGATGCATGAGTGAAATGGTGAAAGCACTTTCCTTATTCACTGCAATCAGCTCTTGCCTTTAATTCTGGGCTTGGTGGCAGTCATTTCTTAATTGCCGTGCTGTAACAAACCTTTATGCAAGTCATCTAAAAGAAGTGGCCGGATCGAGGTACTAACACATAGGGCTCTCACTAAGAAGTATATACACTCGTGGTGAGGCGCAAAAGATTACACATTTTATTTCACTTTATTCAAAACTTCCAGCTCACTGTGTCCAACAGAGAACACCGCTGCATAACATCGCTGTAACATGACGAGGCCATAGAGACGTGTCAGTATGAAGAGTGAGACACATGGCTGGTACTTATAAGGGATGAGTGATGAAAACATTGCAGAATAATACAAGATTTACACACAATCAGTCTTTATATAACTTTAAAGCTTTTAACAAGTTTCATGCAAACTATTCTTGATTTCTCATTCGATTGAGTTTTTATGGATTTTTAATATTTTAAAATAGAACATATGGAGCAATCCTTGACACAATCCATCTTCTAAATGAAGTTCCTTATTTGATATTCAGCCAGTGCTGAACATGTTTTTACTTGCAGCTGTCTTCGGTCTTACAGTTTGTCTCTTTGGATGTCATTTGCTTTGATTTCCGAGGAAAATATTTTCTAAGTGGATGTTGCTCTTGGATCCAGATATTTAGTGCCAATTTTCTCTTCCGAGAATAATTATTTGAAATAACCACAACACTCCATTTAACAATCTGTGTTGCAGAAAGATTGAGCTCCACGTTGTACAATCAAGCCTGCAATGATCATACATCAAACTTAAAAAAGATCCTACTAGAGTGCGCTATAGGACACATTTTTGTGCCAACACGACACAATTCAGAAAGAGAAGTAACCAAGCCCGCCCCCTAAACCTGGGGTCCTGTCTCACCAGAGCCCTCACAGATAAAGTAAGGAGGCCCTGAGTTTGTGTAACCGGGCTTCGCTCAGAGCACCATCCTCACCCTCTGTGTGAGGACATTGAGCAGCAGAGCTCTGTGAATGGGTTATCTGCTGGTGGAATCACATGTTTACAGACGGAAGACCTAGGTCCATCATTTTATTTATTTTAACACTATTTCCCACTAAAAACCACTTGAAGCACGAGGTAAAGTAGGCTGAATCCAACCATCGTTTCGAAATGTATGACCAAACCTGGCCAAGTCCTCTGTAGAGTCCAGTAATTACTTGTGAAATAGAATGGGGGTATTCCTCAGAACTCTTACACTGGAGCCAGTGGGGTTTCACAGGAACCCTGTCACACCCTCCCCCTTTTTGTCTCTTTTTTTTTATGTAGTCTTTAAGTTGTTAAGTTGTTGCAAGACATTTTTAATTCTGTAAAAAACTAAAAACCTTCACTTGTGAATGTTGTCCATCCTGTTGAATCTCAAATATACTCGAACATCACTCAGCCCTGGTACTGATAAACTCCATTAAGGGAAAGGAACACTTGAACTTCCAAACTTGTGTCTATTGGCCACCTGTTTACATTATTCTCTGCGGCCATTAAAACTGCAAATATACCGCACTAATACATTCATTGTTTGGACAAAGCCTCAAATGTCCATGTGTGGACTGAGCTCGAACTTGGCTTAACTAACCAGTCAGACTGCATGAGGTTGAACCAGACACAGATCATAGCCTTGGTATAACAATGTGAATATCACAGCGCAGTATTTCTACATATATACCTTTCGGTGGCAGCAATAAGCTTTTGTGCCTCTGTACTCTTCCTGTTCCCTATATGTGAATAGTTTTTTTTAATAGGCAGTTCAAAAACGCTGTTTGTAATATTTACTGATAAACTGTATCAACACTAAAACATAGATATTTTCTAAAGGGAAATGAGAAGATTTTGTTTTCCTACAGTAAACTCATCTTGTGTCTTTAAACATGCAGGCTTAATGCAAATCCAGTGGCTACAATTTAGAGTAGAATGAGACAAGATAATGATGCAATATAAACTTCTAAGCACTTGAATGTAGGTGTGGAAATATGTTATTGTCTTCACTTGTTACTTAAAGAATACACATTTGAATTCAAATTGGAAAACCAAAAAAAGAAAATGAAACCAAACAGATTGAAGGGACTTTTGTACTGAATGTAATGTTAGAATGGTCAAATGAACCGGGAGTGATTCCTACAGGCTGGCATGAAGAGAATTCTCCTTTTGATCAGCCTATTAGCTTCCTATGTGTGTGCCATCACAGTGTGTCAGCTGGTTATTGAGGTTGCTCTTTAAATGCAAACACACTGCCAGCAACTGGCATAAATCAGTCCGTTTGTTATTGTTTCTCTGTCGTACAAACCAATCAGGACATGCCATAAGTGTACTGACATGTGACCTAGAGTGGTGCAATGATTACATATTTTTGTGAGCCCGACCCGGAAGTTAGCATCACAAGGGTCTCTCAAACAAAAAGCCTTGGCAATTACTTTTGGTATATTGCTAGAAATAAGCTTTGTTGCCCACACACATTTGAATACCCAGCACGTTTGTTTCTGCAGGATAATCTCCATGTATTAACTCCACTTTGTGATTCTTGAAGCGTATTGCAATTGGCAGAAACCATACGTAATGCTATGAACAAACTACGTCATGGTCGCACGGTATCGGTCACATTGTAAGCTCATGTTAACCACAAACACATTCAATCAGACGTTGACCTCGAGATGAGGGAAGTTGAAGTGGTAACATGCTTTTCCTGGTTTAATGACTTTTAACTGCACCAGTCTATAAGTGCCAACAAAATAAATGAACAAATAAAACCGTACCAGCCCCATGGTAATACATGTATGTAAGAACACTTCAAATACATCCAGCAGTAAGGCCAAAGTTTGTTTTGCTTTGCTGCATTCACAAAATATGATGGATTAGCAGGATTGCTAATAATAATGTCGTAAGGCTGTAGAGCAGTCACTGGCAGTGTGACTGCATATTTCAATTTAACATTTGACTTGCAATTACATTTTTTTCTACGGTTTTCTTTTAAAGTAGAAGTCGTTTGGTTTCCATTTCTGAAAACAAAGTGCCTTTTTATTTAATCTGACTGATCACGCTTTTTCATACAACGATTACAAAATCGGTTTTTTATTATCTCAGATGACATTTAGAAGAATAAATCTGTAGTTTCCTAAATGTGGATAATACAGACCTTTTTTTCAACTTGTCACAGTATAGGCACAAAATACAATTATGAACCTGCACATTAATAATAATAGGGTCCCTTTGAGAAATAAGCAGAAGCAAACACATACACACCACTGCAATTCTTGACCCTAAAAGTGATTCTTCCCTGTTCCTGATATGAAAATGATTGATCTGTTTATGTTTGAGCACCAACTGACCAACTTTTACTCTTATGCATAGTCCCTTCTGTTTTATTATGCTGTACACGGCTGGCTGATGGCACATGCAGTAGTGTAATGTAGCTTGTTGTGCTGATAGGAATGCTTGCTGAGTGCTGATGATCTCTATCAACGGTGAATATTTTAGAATCCATACAATCCTAAAGGGCTGTATGTTTGTTAGCGCTCACTGTGCCGCTGTTATTCCACATTAGAGCAGCAAGTGAGAAACCCATCTTCATGCTCATTTTTGTATATAAGTGGTCAAATATAGCTCATGTGTTTAGCTGAAGGTAAGTTTGGAGAACTGTTACTGTTCCCCTTTATGTTTCTACTCATATCACTGCCTGCTTTTATTAGGCCTTTGTGGTAGAACTTCATTTTCAGTTTTTTGTTTGTTGCTTAGTTCATTTTTCATTCAGTGAGACAGCCATACTCCGAAACATCTTGTTCATGTGTATTGGTGGATGGATCTATAGTCTATAGTATAGTCGAACCATCAAAGCCAAAACAAGTGAAGGGGACGACCAGAGCCATTAACTGCACTTTAAGTTCCTGTTTTTAAAGTGTGAGGAAGTGTGAATTAATATCCCAAGATTGTTGGGGTTGAACAAGCATAGACATTGAATGTTGTTATATATATTGTTTACATTGATGTTCTTTTTATCCTCTCTGTTACGGGGTTTGTTTCCCCTTTTTATTAGCATTCTTTGTCGAGCTTTACGTCCCGATAGAAGCCCCAGAGCAGGTCACTAAAGCTCTGAATCTTGATGAAAAATGAGTTCATCCTCACGAGAAGTGTTGGCTTCAGTTGTAGTCCTCGTGGCTATCAGCAGCTCCTGGTTCCTCCTGCAGAAAGAATTCAACCTATAGATCAATAATTTGTCTTATACATATCTTGTTGTTCTGTATCATACTGTGAGTGTGAATGTATTTCTTTATAGAATGTTACTGATAAATAAAAAAACATTTAAAAGCAATTTTCACTTTGGTTCCTTTTGTATGGCTCTTTAAAGTATGTGAAGGTTTAAAGTCTCTCCACCACTACACCATGTGCAAGATGTTCCCTGGTTAACGTGGCTGTCTTTGTTTAATATGTTTACAAAATGATATGTACAGTAGGGAATGGGAAGGTCAAATGTTTAAACACAAGTTCCGGGTTAAGGCATGTCAAAACTAAGCAGCGTACTCAGAGACAGGTGTCCTGCATGCTAAAGCCCTGATGGTGATTAACACATTCTGTGTAGTGTATTCAACTTCAGTTTTCACCGTTTGCCCTGCCTTAAAGGGGCCCTGTTGTGCTTGGTGGGATTTTCACTGTCCTGTAGTGTGGTACAGGTTTTTGTGCAAATGCTAAAATCCCAAGGCCCATGCCAGAGGCAGTTTCTCTCCAATACCCATTTATTACGCAGAGGAATTCATTATTCAAATATTTATTTCAAAAACAAGAACATTTTGAGATGATGACATGCTTTTATTTAATGAAATAGGCAGAGCAGCTTTTTATAATAATAAGATACCCGCGGTAAACATTGTGCTTCAAAATAAATAAAGTATGAGTTGTTTTTCTAATGCACTGTATAGTGTGACATGAAGATGTGGTACAATTAAATGTTTTGCCAATTGATATTTTAATACATTTAATATAATCCTGTTTAATCTTTAAACATAAACAGAGCGACATTCAATTTGTAAGAAACAGCTCAACCACCTTACATTTAATTTTCTATTTGAATTATTAAATTATATTTATTTATTTATTATATAATGTATCAGCTTCAATTGATTGGTCTAAAAAGGCAAATGCTCCTCTGTCCATTCAAAACATTTAACGCACATTTTTCAAATGACTACGTGATTTCTCCTCGTTTGTCTGTTTTGCGTTCAAACACAGCCGCTTCAACCGTCAGCAGGGGAGGAAGACATGTACTATATATTCAATATTTATTTTGTTGTTTTTTTTAAATTGTGTTTTTATTTTTTTATTACGTTTTTATTTTATGATTATTCGGTAAATCCATAAAATGTAAAAAAGTAAATCACTTTTTTTACCTGATCCTCAGACCGACACACTCAGGTATTTAATGAGACACTTTTTTGATGATTGGACACAAAAGAGAGAGAAAGCAGCAGATGTAACATTTAGGAAGCCAAGACACAGTAAGTTTAACAATTCCTGCTTCCAAATGAGTTAAAACAATTGAAAAGAAATCTGTTAGTAATTCAGCGTCTCGCCCTATTTCCTCTAACACTTGAAGACAGTGATGTTATCATATTAGCAGTTAGCTTCTATTAGCAGCTTGTTTCATTTTTTGGTTGAGTCACAAAGGCTTGTAAATGTTGACCTCTGCAGCTTTATCAAATCAATCTGGGTTTAGTGTTCGATGTTAGGGGAAGACTTCTTTAAGCCCCTGCTGTCGGACATCTCAAACACATTTTTATCTTCCATCAGACAAGAGGACAGAATCGTGCATGGTTTCCCCACTTATTTGTATCTATTAAGAGATCAGATGCAGCGTGTAATCCTTCAGCTTTCCATCAAAAAGAACAACGACCAAGCAAATCTCCTGATGAAAGATGTTTCTATTGTTGTCACTCTCAGAAGTGAGTTCTAATCTGAGGGCAGTCGGGTGGAGCAGGCAGATGCAGAGCACCCCCC